AGATTTTCTTGAAGATGTTAAGCTCAAATATTTTTAACAATGCATGAGGGCAATATTTGCGGATATTCCACTGCCGTGGAACCCGCCACGAGCTTCTTAATTACCTTAAGAATTAAGACTCATCAGGAAATTCAAATAGACAAACCGTGAAAACTTCAAGGCTATTTCTAGTTGTTTATAAAATGATAGTCGTAACACTTGATTTAAATTATTTGAGAAACTATAAAAGAAATTAATTTAAAATTTCACATCTTAAACCTGTTAAAATTAATGAGGGTGGGAATGGTCAGTATGTAAGTAGTTTGTCTGTCTATATTTCTGAGATGAGGTATTATGTACATTATTTACATTATTATATAGTCCATATTGTCCTCATCTTTGTCGCCATATATATCACAACGTTTCAGCCGTTGTACGCCCCGGCCTTCTTCAGGTGGTTAGAATTTCGAACTGAACCCTTTATTTTGCTCACTGGGATATACTGTTCTAGTTCCACGTGCCATGTTTGATGGATGTCAGTTATCAGTTATCTCCTGTTAATTTCCCTCTGAAAGTTTTCCATTGCCTTAACCGGACACATGGCACAGGGAATAAAACAAAATATTACCAGCAATATATTTTGAAAAGTATCATCAGCAATAGTTTTGACTCTCGACAAAAACCCTCTTTACAAAAATACGTCATTGAAACCTGATCTTCAAACGGATTTTTTACAAAGAATACATAAATAAATACCGCTAGGGTCCATCATCTCCCCCTTACCCCCTAAAAAAGAGTGGTTAGTATCAATGAGGTAAGATAAGTATTAAGGAACTCTTGAAATTGCCATAGGCCCCTGGGCAGGACCCGGAAAGAAATGTGTAAATCAAAGAAAATAAAAATAATAATATACGGTCATGTGACTATTATTCGCAAATCTATTTCTGTCTCTTGCTTATTTACAAACGGTCTTAAATATAACAGTTAAAAAAAAGAAGAGTCTCTAGTCCTAAAGAAAGCAAATGAATAACATAATCATACAAAGCTCTCATTAAAAAAAAGAAAACTAGAAGAGAAATATACATTAGCAAAATAATACATTTTATATCATGAAAGAATAATGTAATCAAAGATCATCCTTGTTTTTAAAAGACGACAATCGTTATTAGAAATTTGCTTGATTCGAACGTGAACAATTATAATCTCTGCGTTAAACAAGTCAGCAAGAATAGTTTTATTCTTTTCTCTTTTGTGTGCCGTGTCCCTTCAGGACGTAGGCGATCATGGCTCTCCACCTCCTCTTATCCCTTGTTGTTCTCAATATGATTTGTCCTTTTGCTACTTTTCCCAGACCTTGTTCTGTCAATCCACTTGCTTAAACCCGCTAGGTATATGTCACGTGTTGCTTTTTCTTGTCTCTCCTGCTATCCGCCCTGTGAGTATCAGGTTATCCAAGCTCTCCTTCCTCATTATGTGTTCCAGAAATTTCAACTGCTTCTTCCTGATGTTAAGTATAAGCTTCCTCCTTGTTTGCATCCTCTCCAAGAAAGAAAGCTTAATTTAATTTCAAAGCCGATATCTGAGTGTGAGTTGAAATGTTATATTATTAGTGGCTAGAACCAAGGGTCACAGAAATGGCTAAGTTAAGCTTCTAACACATGAAAGGAAGCAAAGAGCAAACTGTTATAAATTATTCTCCAGCTTAGAAAGTGAAAAGAAAAGTAGAAGATAATGCTATTTGTACAGAACTGTTCTTTCGTTGAATTTGTCTTAAAAATTCTTGCCGACGAATTCCTTAGATTTCATTTTGGAGCCGCCAAATTAAAACATTTTTATTGGCTAAAAATAAATCGAAAATAGACATGATGGCTCGCTATCACTTACCTTGGGTCTAATATAATTTTATATAATATAAAAAATATTAAAAAATACTGATTCTACAAAATATATTCAATAAAAAAAAAAAGATCGGCAAACTTGGATCTTCGTGTCCGAAAACAAAACGGAATGTCAAAAGGACGTTTTCTTTTCCATTGACGCCGCTATCATTTTAACAACCTTCCATCCTCAGTAATATTTCTCTGTTTGTTTTTTTTTTAAATCGATGGTAGTTGCAAATATAATTTTATATTTACAACCTTCTAAAAACTGATACAATTGTATCAAAACTAATGCAATTTATCATTTACCAATTTATAAAGAAATAAATATGAAAAAAAAAATTATTCATAAATCTATAAATCTTCAGTAAATTATTAAAATATGTGAACCAAGTGTAAGGAAATCGTTATTATTTACAATTTTATAAAGTTTAAATCAAGTGGCAATTCGCTAATGTTTTGCCAACCAAATGAGCAATATAATAAATAGTCTAAATAAACAATCTAATAAATAAATTTTAGTCTACGTAGTGAATTATTAAGAACAAAAAAAATGACTTTCATATGTTTAGGTTTTATTAAAATTGTAATAATTGATTTTTTTAAAAACAATAAGCATTGCCCAGGAGTGGAGGTAGTTAAGATAAGTGCAGTGTCAACTGAAAAAGAAAAGTCATCCTTTTGACACTTTTTTTCGGCTATGAAGTCCCAAGATCTTCATTCAGATTTTTTAAGCTAAGGTTACATTATTGTAAAAAAAAAAAAAAAAAAAAAAAAGTACAGTACCCCCTAAAAAATTTACAGTACCCCCTAAAAGAAATGTCGATTTGAATGTACCGCTACCATTTTCTGACTTTTTCCAAATAAGCTAAACAAACATTACAGTCATATCTACCCTCGTTATTTAATTCCGAATATTATCCTCATCTTCATTATTGTTATTGTAACGCTTCGATTTCTATGCTAACCGGCCTTTTTCACGTGCCTATTGGTAACTTTCAGAGAATTACGACTTGAACTCTTTATTTAACCTAAGCAGCGGAGAGTAGGTTTAAGGGTCCAAGTTAAAGGACCATGATTTTTCCATGGGAAAATAGCCTAATGGAATAAAGCGTTTGTTCGTGAATTTGGAGACATAGTAATTGCGAGTTCAATCCATGGAACGGGCAGTGCAGACATAAACGCAGTGGAAACTGGCGATAAATAATTAAGCAGCACTAAATAACAACAATCAAGATATTCGTTAAGGTGGCGAGTGGAATGAGTACAGTCACTTATTGTTATAAAGATCGTAGCTCGGGTTAATAATATTCCAAAGAAAACGCTAGAACACAAGCTTAGCGAAAGAACTGTTTAATCAGTTTGTCTGACACACTTTGCAACTACTGTACGAATAGTATGCGTTTAGGCCCCTGCTGTGACTACTTTTATAGTTAGTGGAATAGTCCATGTTTAGCGTCTTAGTGTAACGATGGTCAGTCGTCTTTTTACGCAATATTTATATGAAGGGCGCTTCATAAGAACAACAAAGACCGTAAAGTAAATTATATAAATAATTGATAACTTCTCATCCTAGAAATCGTGACAGACATCTTCAAAGAGAAGATCTCTTTTGAATTTCTAAATTGTCTGGGATTGTAAGTTCAAAACAGAAACACTGACTTTCTCTTTGCAATTTAATAATTTAAAAGAACGAAAGAAATAAAAAGAGCAAAAAAAAAAAAAAAAAAAAAAAAAGACGCAGAGAAACATGATTTCTTAATGGTCAAAAGTAAATGTCATCGATTTTCTTCAGTTGCCATTCCAATGTCTAACGACTCCATCAACGCCCGCAACATTTGCTGACAAGTCAGTTGTGCGGTTCCAAACAGCGACTCACCCTCGGATATCCATCAGCCTTGAAGCTATCAATGCTGGCCGTCTGTCTACAGGAGCGAGTCAGCCACCAGTAAAGGCTGTCAATCTTAGACGCATGAGAATGAGAAAACGCCAAAGTTCGATTCTGCGAAACAAGACATTATGAGACAACTCCATCTTGTATGACGAGGAAATGAAAGCAGATTTCTTCGAGAGAAATCGAAGAATGCCGTCAGAATGGAATCAGAAGTCATAGAATGTATGAACTGTATGCAATAAACATATTAAATGGATTCTTAGATACTTCTATCATTGGCATGGAGCGCAGCAGTGGCCTAGAGGATATATGTCTGTGAGCAGAGACAATATGATTATTTTAAATACGAGGAAACTACAAAATAATGAGTTCTGCACAAAAAATAAAAAGTAAAGAGTCGTTAAAATGAATCAGAATAGAAGAAAATAACGCGTTGGATAAGTACGTTTTCATTTAAATATAATGTATTAATTAGTCATGTAAAAAATATTGTAGAGTTAGGTAAAAGTATGTAGGACACATTACCCAATGTAGAAATGCGATGGCTGTCAGTCAGTTTTGTGCCATGCGTGATAAGCATAGAAATGAATACAATATGGGAGCCAGTAATAAGGAGTGCCAGAGAAACGCGATAATAACAACAAAAATTGCAATATGAACTCTGGTAAAAATATGAGGGATAATAGCAAAAATTGCAATATGAGCACTAGTAAAAATGGTTGCTGAAGACATTAGGTTTATAATACCCAGAAATTCATACCCAGATGTCCTTAAGGACACATGGTACTGTGGATAAAGGCGTTTGTTAGATCCAGTGACAGGACCCAAAGAGTATGAGTTCAATACCCGGTTAAGGCAGTAGAGAACTTGGTGAGGGGAATTAACATGAGATAACTGATAACTAACATCCATTAGACATGGCATGTGGAACAGCCTACCCCAGTGAGCGAAATAAAGGGTTAAGTTCGACATTCCAACAATCTGAAGAAGGCCGGAGCGTACAAAGGCCGAAACGTTGGTAGTCGGCAAAGATGAGGACAATAGTCCGAATAATGTAAATAATGTACATCATACCTCATCTCAGAAATATAGACAAAATAACTTTGATGTAACAGCAATAATATAGAAAAAAATCAGTTGGGCAAATAGCTGATATCTGAAATGAAAACTTAACTATGGTAAATGTATTTTGAAAAAGGGAATATCTACACAGGCTTGGTTTTTTGAGCAGAGTATTGTATCCGTCAATGGTGCACTTCAGGACCTCCCGAAAGAAGGTACGTTTTCTAGAAGGCATATTGGCTTTGGATTCGACAACGGATGTAATTTGATGAATTCATTCATTGACTATTGACTAAGTATAGCCGACACTGTGGGATATTTGAAAAGGAGAGAAACGGACAACGTTTCTTTCTCTCCTTCGAAAATAGGAAGTTTTTTTTTTGTTTTTCCAAGTGACCATTTCGACCGCTCCTATGAATCGAGATCGTTTCGAGTTCAAATATAACAAGGGATTATTCGGTGCGAGGAAAGAACGTGGCTGTTTTCAAAGGTCAACAGGAGAAATCATTTATAAATCTAACCTTAAAGAAATTATTTATAACTTAAAAAAAATATTTTGTCCATTTAGGAAGAGTGCTAAAAATAACAATACTTTTTTACAATATTATTATTATTTTATTTCCTTTTATCTGGTGTGTACTGATTTCTGTCCGGGTCCAAACAAGCGACCTAAAGTCAGAAATGGCATCATAACTTTTTGAATAAAAAAAATCACACGTATTTTACATGGATAAAGCTCTTTAAAAGGTGTCGACTGTACTTGTGAGAACAATTTTTTAATATTTTTAATGCATGGACTACCGGGAATCTATTCAATGAATCTATTGGAAACTTTTCCAATGAATCCGAGGTATCCAAATATAACTGGAATTATTGATGTCAACTTGTGCCACATTTTTGAGATTTTGATATCAAGGTCCTTGCATTTTGATAGTTTTTTGAAGATCTTCAAAGATACATTACACTTTGCGGGGACTAACATGTCAATAAGAAGAGACATGTTGTCTTTCACGTCTCTAATCACGATGTCTGGATTATTATTATTTTTTATTTTTTATTTCCTTTGATTTCTGGCGTTTACATATTACTTTCCGGGTCCCGCTTAGAGACCTAAGGTTTGAAATGGCATCATGATACTTTCCACCCAAATATATATATATATATATATTACATAGACAAAGCCCTTCGTAAAGTTTGGGCTGTACTTGTCAGAGCAATTTCTTTTGTATCTCCTTGAGGCATGGACTTCCAGGAATCCCTTCAATCAGTCTGCTGCAATCTTTTCCAACCAGTCCTAGGGCTCCAACTACACTAGGAATTGTTGATGTTCCCATATACTACATTTTCGAGATTTCTATTTCAAGGTCCTTGTATTTTGACAGCTTTTTGAATATCTTCAAAGATACACTGCAGTCAGCAGGGACTGCCATATCAACAAGGAGGCACCATTTTTATTTGTGGTCTTTAATAACAATATCTGGGCGGTTGGCTTTGATTGTTCTGCCAGTGTGTATTTGTGTAGTCCCATAAAATTGTAACAGGTCCTATCTCCCTAACCGTTCTGGGTGGTGTTTATTATTATTATTATTTTTATTTTCTTTGATTTCTGGCGTTTACACATTTCTTTCCGTGTCCCTCCCAGGGACCTAAGGTTAGAAATGGCGTCATGACAGTTTCCACTGCCAAAAAAAAAAAAAATTAAATTACATAGATAAAGCCCTTCGTAAAGTGTGGGCTGTACTTGTCAGAACAATATTTTGTATCTCCTTGAGGCATGGACTTCCAGGAATCCCTTCAATTAGTCTACTGCAATCTTTTCCAACTAGTCCTAGGGCTCCAAATACAACAGGGATGGTTGATGTTCCCATATGCCACATTTTCGAGATTTCTATTTCAAGGTCCTTGTATTTTGACAACTTTTTGAATATCTTCAAACATACATTGCAGTCAGCAGGGACTGCCATATCAATAAGGAGGCACCGTTTTTGTTTGTGGTCTTTAATAACAATATCTGGGCGGTTGGCCTTGATTGTTCTGTCTGTGTGTATTGCGTAGTCCCATAGAATTGTAACAGGTCCTATCTCCGTAACCGGGTCTGGGTGGTGTTCATACCATTTTCTTTCAGTTTCCTTCCCGTAGAAGTTGCAGATTTTCCAGTGCAGATATTGGCCCACTCTATCATGTCGGGTTTTATATTCGGTGGGTGCCAACACCGTGCAGCCTGATACAAGATGATCAATTGTTTCTGGATATTTATCACAGAATCTGCATTTCGGGCTGACACAATATTTTAGTATATGTGCTTGATGATTCCTAGTTAGCAAGCATTGGTCCTGCGCAGCAAGGATAAAAACTTCAGTTTCCGCTTTCAACCCTGCACTACGTAGCTACTGATGGGTACGGGTTTTGTCTACGTTAGCTTATTTGGTACGGGCAGAGTATTGGCCATGAAGCGGTTTATCTTGCCATTGTTTCTGTATCTGGTCGGTTGCATTCGTCTTTGCTGTCTTTTTAAGGTATTTTGCAGTTTCAGCCGGTGTATTGTGCTGTAGTTGCATCTCTACGCCCATTTGAAACTCCATTTTGAATTTGTTGGCTTCTTTCATTACGGAGTAAAGATGCTTACTACTTTCATGTTCCTTGACGCATACCATCATGTAGTTTTCTGTAGTTTCCAAATATCTTTGGAGGCCAATTGTTGTAGTTTTGTAGGACAGTTCTAGTTGAACTAATCCTCTGCCTCCTTCGGATCTGGGCACATACAGACGATCA